TTCTCATCGCATGCAAGAGAATATATTTGTTCTGACTTTCCATTTACCCGATCCCTACCATCTTTGACCGATCCAAGAAAAGAGTCATGGTCATTTAGAATCGCCCAGCTGACGGGGGACCTAGGACGGTACATTTTTGAAGAAGCAAAACACACACTAAAGCATTCGTTATGGAAACTTTGGCAGATCAAAATATTTTGAGAATTGGACAAATGGCTGCTGATAAAATCAAAACAGTCAACTGAGTCATATCCAGTGGTAATCGGAAAGTCTTTCCTGTTCCCTCCACTGTACATAGGTTCAGTGCTAGGACGTCGTTTCTTTCCGGTCATGAACAAAGTCAAATCTCCACCTTGGCCTAAGAAGCATTTGAAAAATCAATTAGATATTCCGACTCAGGTTTTATTTCTTTAGTGTTGATACTCACAGCTTTCATAAATCTCGGCGTAGCTCATTTCAGAGACAGTGATAACGAGAATATTTCAGGGTTGTAGCCAGACTTTCATCAGAGCAGTGAGGCAAGTCTCTTAAGCCCAGAGGACTTACAAGTCCTGTAGAGGATTGTGGTGAAAATTGAAAAATAGCTCTGAAGTGCTACATTTTGACATCCCCCGTTCAATTTACCTTGTATTAAGGCGGGTACGGTGGAATGCATCTTCAAAAAACGTTGAAACATTTTTAAAGCGTCTTAGACGTGTCTTCTTCAATTATAAGTAGCCATAAGACCCTTTGACGGTTATCTTCTACCTCAAATCAATTGTTTGAATCTACCACATTAAATACTTGACAAAACNTGACATCCCCCGTTCAATTTACCTTGTATTAAGGCGGGTACGGTGGAATGCATCTTCAAAAAACGTTGAAACATTTTTAAAGCGTCTTAGACGTGTCTTCTTCAATTATAAGTAGCCATAAGACCCTTTGACGGTTATCTTCTACCTCAAATCAATTGTTTGAATCTACCACATTAAATACTTGACAAAACATAGCACTGCATTTGTTTCCGTGAGACTTGAGACCTCTGAAAAGGACATAATTTTTTTATCGCTGCAAGGCGTTAAAATATGTTGATGGCAATGCTATAATTTTGGTTACGTTTCTTGTTATAAACCACTTTCTTTTTTCTTTCTTTCTTCATTTACGGTGACGAATCAATCTAACAGCCGGAATGTGAACCACTCTGGCTCAGTTTTTTCCAAGGTAAACATGGCAATGCCTGGACGTTGTTAACAAAATTAATATTTGTGTCTGACAAATATCTTATGGTTGGTTTGGTTAGTTGTAAACTCGCAATTATTAAAACTTCTTTACAACATTTGGAAAATGTCTGCAAGCTTTCACAATTCATTGAGAAAATTATTGCCTCAACACCCGTGTGTTGTGTTTGTTCCTCTGGCTAAGGTACGGACCTTTAGAACACTGGATCCTATAACCCAGCAAAGATCTCTCAAGCAAAACAGAATTATATTAATTAAATTGAAGGCT